CAGGCTTCAGGAAGCTATCCGCAAGCCTTGCAAGCCCGGGGGAGTTCCCATGGGCTCGCAAGGCTTGCAGGCAGCAGCCTGCAGCCCAGAACACGGGGCGCCGTCCGGAGGACGCCCTGTGCTTTGGGAAGGTGTCCGCAAGCCTTCCGTGCCCGGTGGGAGGTCCTGCCGGGTGCGCGAGGCTTGGGGCGGCAGCCTGCATCCCGAAGCACGGGGTGACCTCCGGAGGACCCCCCGTGCTTCAGGAAGGTGTCCGCAAGCCTTGCGCGCCGGGCGGGAGGTCCCGCCGGGCTCACAAGGCTTGCAGGCAGCAGCCTGTTCTGGGGGCTGGGGTCGGGGGAAGCTCAGGCTTCCCCCGCGCCAGCCCCGCGCCTGGGGGGGAAATAAATTTTTTTTTCTTTATTTCCCCCCCAAAAAAACTAGGTGCGTCTTATGGGGCGGTGCGTCCTATGGGGCAAAAAATACGGTAACTGTTCTTTGAAATTCTCACCCCAGAGAAGCTTGTCAGGCTGTTTCACCTTTCAGAAATTAGTAAGGAATTTATTTTATTTTTTTCATTTCAGCAAGCATTTGGATGGTGATTTAGTTTGGATTTTTATTTTAATCTAAGCCAAGGATGGGGTACCTGTGGCCTTCTAGATGTTGTTGGACTCTTTTCTGGCTCCCACCATCCCTGACCATTGGCTGTGCTGATGGATTTCAACAATGCCTGCAGGGGCCCATCCCTGAATTAAATGGAGCATATTTCATCTGCTGCTTGTGAGTTGCCACTTTAAAGCAGTTTGATGTTTGAAAACAGATTCCGTTTTTATATAATTTGGGTTTTCATTTTGAAGGATAATGATGCTGATTTTAATTGGATTTTTTTTAATATCGCGCTTTAAGTTTATTTGTATTGTTTTGCATGGCTGTTGTTTGTCTCGCTGAGAAATGCCCTAAAGGGGTGGGGGAAGGAGAAGCTGCGCCATGTTGGCAGGATGGAAATACAAATAAATAAATGAATAAATAAAGCCACAGATCTAGCAGCACAGATGGAACTCTCATATTGCCTCTTATGCAACATGCCTTTTTCTCCCATAGTCAAGTCACTTCACACATTCATCTGCCAGCTAGCAAGTGTACAGGGAAATCTGCTACTTGTGTGAACCAGTCCAGGGTTTTCTGAAGGAAAGAGGCATGAAAGCTGCCTCCCTTAAATTCCCAGGAATAGCATAATATACTGTGGCTGCCAGCTATTCCTGGCAACTGAATTTGATGGGCCTTTGTTCTGTGCCCACAAAGAAGCTGTAGGTTCTTTAAATTTTTATTAGACTGGGTCAATGAAGGCACATCGCTACATATTGCAGTTAACTCCCTTATTTGCCTGCAAAGGTCATCTGCTTCCCATGCCACGAGAAAATATTTTATTTTTTTATAAGATATTTATTGAAGTTTTCAAGATATTACAAAACACACACACACAAAAAAGAAAATACAAAGTAAAAATATTTAAAAACAATTCATTCCTTCCATTACTTAACCTTCATTTGCTTAGTTCCAGGACCTCCTCACACCTCCCTTTTTTGTATTCCAGTTCAATTATTTCATTCAGCAAATCCCTCCCCTCTTAATGTATCCTAATCATTAATCATAAAGTATTGTATTTTTGGATTTTTACATATTAATAATCCATTTTATCATATTCCTTGTAACCTTTCAGCTAAAGTTCACTTAGTTTCTATCCAACATCATTCTAGCATTCATTAATTTTACAATATTTCTGTAGATAGTCTTTAAACTTTTCCAATCTTCCTCCATCGACTCTTCTCCCTGGTCTCGGATTCTGCCAGTCATTTCCGCCAATTCCATATAGTCCATCACCTTCATCTGCCATTCTTCCAAGGTGGGTAGATCTTGTGTCTTCCAATACTTTGCAATGAGTATTCTTGCTGCTGTTGTGGCATACATAAAGAAAGTTCTGTCCCTCTTTGGCACCAATTGGCCGACTATGCCCAAGAGAATGGCCTCTGGTTTCTTCAAGAAGGTATATTTAAATACCTTTTTCAATTCATTATATATCATCTCCCAGAAAGCCTTAATCTTTGGGCACGTCCACCAAAGGTGAAAGAAAGTACCTTCATTCTCTTTACATTTCCAACATTTATTATCAGGCGCATGGTAAATTTTTGCAAGCTTGACTGGTGTCATGTACCACCTGTATATCATTTTCATAATATTCTCTCTTAGGGCATTACATGCCGTAAATTTCATGCCTGTGGTCCACAACTGTTCCCAGTCAGCAGACATAATGTTATATCCTAGATCTTGTGCCCATTTAATCATAGCAGATTTCACGGTTTCATCCTGAGTATTCCATTTCAGCAACAAGTTATACATTTTTGACAAAATCTTAGTATTGGGTTCTAACAATTCTGTTTCCAATTTTGATTTTTCCACCTGGAAGCCAATTTTCTTATCCAAATTATATGCCTCCATTATCTGATAATAGTGAAGCCAGTCTCGCACTTTATCTTTTAATTTTTCAAAACTCTGCAATTTCAATTTGTCTCCTTCTTGTTCCAAAATTTCCCAATATTTCGGCCATTTGGCCTCCATATTGAGCCTTTTCTGAGCCTTTGCTTCCATCGGTGACAGCCACCTAGGGGTTTTATTTTCCAATAAGTCCTTATATCTTATCCAGACATTTAACAATGCTTTCCTGACAATATGGTTTTTAAAAGCTTTATGTGGTTTGACCTTGTCGTACCACAAATATGTGTGCCATCCAAAAACATTGTTGAAACCTTCTAAATCCAAAATGTCTGTGTTCTCAAGAAGCAGCCATTCTTTCAACCAGCAGAATGCTGCTGATTCATAATAAAGTTTGAGGTCTGGCAGGGCAAATCCACCTCTATCCTTTGCATTGGTTAATATTTTAAATTTTATTCTAGGCTTTTTGCCCTGCCAGACAAATTTAGAAATGTCTCTCTGCCACTTCTTGAAACAGTCCATTTTGTCCACAATTTGCAATGATTGAAACAAAAACAACATTCTAGGCAATACATTCATCTTTATAACAGCAATTCGGCCTAGCAAGGAAAGCTTCAAGTTTGACCATATCTCTAAATCCTTTTTCACTTCTGACCAACATTTCTCATAATTGTCTTCAAATAGGTTTAAGTTCTTAGCAGTCATGTTAACCCCCAAATATTTTACTTTCTTAACCAATGTTAAACCTGTCTCCTTCTGAAACCTCTCTTTCTCAATCGGTGTTAAATTTTTCTCAAGCACCTTAGTTTTTAACTTGTTCAGCTTAAATCCTGCCACATGACCAAATTCCTGAATCAATTCTAAAACTCTTTTAGTACTAGATTCTGGCTCCTGTAACGTCATCTGCAAAAGCTTTCAGTTTGTACTGTTTAGCTCTGACCTGTATACCTTTAATCAAGCGGTCCCTTCTAATCATATTTAGCAAAAGAGAAAATATTTTAGGAGACTAACACAAGGGTGGGAAACCTCAGACTCAGGGGCCAAATGTGGCCCTCCAGGCAACTATATAGCCCTTAAAATACACCCCCTCAGAGGACCTCAGGCAGTGGTGTGCGGTGAAATTTTTTTGTAGGGGAATAGTTAGGGCCAGAGGTGCCAGCTTGCATGGGCAATTGGGATGTTGCGCGTGAGTATCAACCTCCCTCCCTAAGCTGGGCAGAAGCTTCCTGGGCTTAGGGAAGGAGGCGCCAGGCTTTAATACTTTAATACTCCACCAGGATAATTTAGGTGTCTAGCCTATTCCCCACAATCCACTGACTACATGCCACTGCCCTCAGGGTGTTTTTGCCTGGCTCAGACGCCTCCTTGAATTTTGAGAATGCCTCTTACTGGTCTGCATGGTGGATAGAGAGGGATTTTGTGAGTGTGTATAGAAACTAGCCTTCTGTACAAAGGTAAAATTGACATTGGTTGTTCCAACCGCTTTTGCTTCTAGGCCCACCACTAGCATGTGTCTGTCAGGAAGTTTCCCAGAACACAATGCAGCTCTCAGGCTGGGGAAAATTGTGATCCCCAGACTAACACATAGAAGGCAGACCAAATACCTGGGCCTGGTTCAGGCTTTCAATGGTTGAATTAAGTAGGTTTGCATCAAAATGCCACCTCAACCATTTGCTCCCAGTCCTACTTGCATTTGTGAATAAAGAGATGGTTCCAAGTGTGTTTCATCAATTTCCACAGCTTCCCAAAGCACCCCTTACTTTTGAAACTCTGAATCTTTTTATTTCTTCCCCTGAAAGCTTCTGCCTCGAACTTTAAACGAGGCACACACAACAGCTGGAGAGATTAACGATGCGGGAAACCCAAGGCTCTTCATCTTCCTGATTTGAGAACGTAAGTCAAGCCTTAATTTAGAATTTTATCCAACTTTAAATTATATTTCTTTTGATTGGAGCACATTTACTATGGAATGAGGCTCATGTATTTTATTTGCCGTGCCGTGACTAGGGTTTGTGATCGATCTACCGTAGTGATGAATGCTTGCTTTGTTCTACCGAGTGAACATTCTGCACGTCTCTTCTTCTATGTAATTTTTATGGTCCTATTGTGCATAGTGTTGCTATTTTTGGAAGCCTGTTTTCTAATTCCTTTTTTATACAGAGCACATTTGGTGTCACATAATGAACCATCCACTGTAAATGCATCTTCTCAAACCTGGGTTTGCTGCAGTGTGATGTGTGAACTGTTCCATATACGTTGTTGCCCACTTGAACTGCAACCTTGCAGTAGATTTGTCCTGGTAGACACCACCTCATAGACTGGAGCTGAACATTTGTCAAGCCTCCAGGGCTAGCTCAGCCTAAACATGATAGCCCCCGTCTTTGAAGGGAGGTATATCAATGTCTGTTATCCATAACATAGGAAGTGCCCTGATAGCAAGTTAGACCATTGGTCCATCTAGCACCTTATTATCTGCACTGAGTGGCAGTGGTTTTCCAGGGTTTCAGAGAGGGGGCATTTCTATCCCTACCTGGGCATGCCAGGGATTGATGCTGGGACCTTCTGCATGCAAAACAGATGCATTACCCACAAAGCTACAGCCCTGCAACACCTGCAACAAATCCACCTCGTCAGTATATTCCATTCCATCTCCCCACCAGTTTTCCATTCCCCCTTCCAAAAGTCAGTCAACATTCCATGCCAGTTGATTATGGTCAGTCCTCATTTGGAAGCTTTGAGATGTCCCCTCCCTTTAAAACCTATCTTGTGGTACTTCTGCAAAGCTTGCAGCATCTCCAAGTCTACCATCTCTCTGTCTTGCGTGTATGTGGATTCTTATGTTTTGACTACATAAGAATCCAGTCCGAGGAGATGACTTTGTTTTTAGTGTCTATGGTTGCTGCAGGAGGAAGAAGAGTGAAGGAAGAGAAGAGGCTGAAGAAAGAGCTGTGAGTGGAGGGGGGCCCTTTTCCCATCTTGTGGCCCCTCTGGGAAACTAAGCAAACCTGCTGCACCCAGAACTGGATGTGGAGTGAAGCTGAATGGGACAGCTCAAGGAAGTACCATCCACCTTGGGTCTGCCCACGAAAAGCAAGTCTAGAGTGAGAGACCAGGGTGTTGTCTGCTGTTTCCAAGAACTCTTCTCATTGTGAGACTTTTCTGGGTGAGCTGAGAGTGTGCTTGGGCCCTGGGTGGGAAACCGGAAGCTGGGAAGAGAAGGCATGTCAGAAATAAAATGAATTGGCATTGATTAGCAACTTTGTATTCATGTAACATTTTTCTTTGTAACGGTGTATTTTTGTAATATTTTGATTAAGTTGTCTGTTGTTGCTTCACTTTTTTGCACACCACTTGGATATATTTTTAATAGATTAAGTGGTATAGAAATTAAATTATCTATCTGACAGCACATCACTGAATATTAGTTGCTGGAAGAGGGCTGTTGCCTTCAGGTTCTGTTTGGGGGCTGACCACAGACATTTGTTGGCCACTGGTGGGAAACTGGAGGCTAGACTAAATGAGCTTCAAGCAGATCCATCAGAAAACTCTTCTTCCTCTAAATTTGCATGAATATTACATAGCTTTACTTCTGCCAGGCAAAGTTTTCTCTACTTGAAACATCCACATCTCCCTCTCTTAGCGGAGCTGTTTGTCTAATGAGATGGTTGCCTGCTGGGGATCCCATACACTTATGAGGTAGAATATCTCCTTTGAGGATCCAGGACAGCAGCAGGGAAGAGGAAAACTGGAACATAGCAGTTCACCCTACTCGGAGTATTTCAGTGATAAAAATGTGTGTATGCGCGCACACACACACACACACACACACACACATATTCTCTGGTACAGTTTTCTTTAAGCCATAAAATTCTGCAGAAGATGGCATACAGCCCCAAAAAGAAGGGCAGATAGTGATAGCTCAGCACAAAACACACATATAATAGTTAATCTAATGGCTTCCAACTTTTAGATTTTTTTTCCAGCAGTCCCTCCGGGGTAGCTTCACAAAATGCTAGTGGGGCAAAAAGCTGCATAGGAAATTGTAACAGCACACAGGGGTGAACAGAATGGAGCTGACCATGGTTCTGAATCAGAAATCAAACCCCATGCTAGTTGTAAAACAAGGCTCCGTTTATGCCAACCTCTTCCTTCCTACCTAGACAACAGAGGTCACTTGCTGGGCTATATTATATTACAATCCTCTATGAATTGTTCATGGAGTCTCTGAAGATGTGCTAGTTGTCTGATGCAGCAGGTATCAAATGCAACTTATGCCAGAACCATGAACCTGCCTGCCTGCCTGCTGTGAACTACCCTAAACAATACAGATGGCAGTATAATACCACCATGGGGCAGAGGCACTATCAGCAGGTGACCCTGGAAGGAATGGCTCCAGGTGGCAAGTAGCCATACCACACAGGAGAATGCAAAAACAAAATGCAGTGTGTCAAGATATTCAGACTGATGGAAAGTACCCCACGAAGTACTCAGGAGTCAAGCTGTGTTTCAAGTGGGGCTTTATTCCAGTTGCAGTTTTGCATCATTATAAAGCAGTCTTCTTACATCGAGGAATCAGCATACACAGGAGGGATCACATACAAGGGGGAAGCCAGTGGGGATAGTCAACCATACCTCTTTATACTAACTGGTTTTAGACCAATTAGCCAATGCTCCACCAGTTGTGATGCCGACTCATCCCTCGTTCCATCATCTTTGCTGAAATACCAGCTCCATCGGGCACTTTGTACCTCTGAACTGTTTCTAAGCCAGTTGATCATTATTTATTTGTTATTTATTTATTTCTTGCATTTATAGCCCCCTTTTTCTTCCCAGAAGTTCAAGGTGGTGTACATTATTCTTCGCCTCCACATTCAATCTTCACAACAGCCCTTTGAGGTAGGCTAGGCTAAGAGGCAGTGACTTGTCCAAAAGAACCCAAGGAACTTCATGGCTTAGTGGGGATTTAAGCTCTGGTTTCCCAGATCCAGGTCCACATTGATTCTCATTGTAAGAACTACTATTTAAGAATTGATTCCTGGGTTTGCATTTCCCCCTCTTCTGTCCCTGACACATTTCCCTTGTTTGTCATGTCTTTTAAATTGTAAGCCTGTGGGCAGGGACTGTCACGTTTTAACTGATTGTGTGTAAGCCAATCTTGGGCCTCCCTTTCACTGAAGAGCAAGCCACAGATGCTTGAAATATAGTTAGCCAAATAGCTTATCTGATATTTCAATGTGAGCTGAGAGCCTACCCAACCACCGGGCCATTGGCACTGGGTTTAAGGATGGCACCAAGGACAGATTGCATCATTCTCCCACATGGTCTTAGCTCCTGATGCCTTCATATCACCTTGTGATCATTGTAGCTCAGGAAACAATCACTCAATAATTCTGCTCACAGAAGATGGCAGAGGAGAAGGGAGGGGGAAGTAATTCTCTTTTCATTGTTATAGGCGCTTCCACTAATATAGCAGCCCACCGGGGGGGGGGGGCGTGGAGATCAATAAAAATCATGTGGCTTCCACTTCCTTAAGACTTTATTACAAGCTCTGGGGTTCTGCTAAACAGCATAAGAAAATGTAAGTAAGTTCAATGGTGCTTTTGGAGAGGGGGTCTCTCCAGATTGCTACTACCATCTCTTTCACTGTTTGCTGCAATTTCCATGGAAGAATTGGGGGAGGGGGGGTAAATGGGATGAGGAGTGTGTAAATATATATCTCTGGACTCACTAGGGAATGGTGTTAAAGTACAGTGGTACCTAGGGTTAAGAACTTAATTCATTCTGGAGGTCCATTCTTAACCTGAAACTGTTCTTAACCTGAAGCACCACTTTAGCTAATGGGGCCTCCTGCTGCTGCCGCACCGCCACTTTGTGATTTTTGTTCTCATCCTGAAGCAAAGTTCTTAACCCGGGGTACTATTTCTGGGTTAGCTGAGTCTGTAACCTGAAGCGTCTGTAACCTGAAGCATCTGTAACCTGAGGTACCACTGTATTATGTTCTTTGGCCCCAGTCCATCTAATGTGGATTGTTACTAAGTCCTCATCTGCACTATACATTAAAACAGTAGTATGCCGCTTTAAACAGCCATGCCCACACCCAGCCCAAGAATCCTGGGAAATGTCATTTTTAAGGGTTCTGATATTCTCATCAGATAGCTATAATTCCCAGAGTGATTTAACAGACAATCTGTCTTCACTGGGAGCTCTGAGAATCAGAGCTCTGCAAGGGAGATAAGTAAAAACCATCAGCACCCTTAACAAACTACAGTTCCCAGAGATAAACCATGACTGTTTAAAGTGGTGTGACACTTTATGGTGCAGCCAGGGGCCTGAGTTTCATGAAAACTGTTGGGTCAATATAAGGCACAACAAGTTTAACTCCCGTTGTTTAGCATGGAAGAGTAGCTGCTTGTGGCAAATTTTGACTGGCCTTTCCCCTCTTTGAAGCCCATTACAGAATGCTCCTTTCGGATAGGACAGGCAATGCAGTTAGCTCTGTCAGAGAGTGTGTAAATCTCTGTGATATCCTGGATGGGAGGCTAGTATTGTGATGCAATGCCATCAGGCAGCGCACAAAGAGGAGGCAGGAGGGTTTCGTTCATTCGGCTAAGAATAAGCATGAGCTTCTATAGAGGCAGTTGCTCAGTGTGGTGCCTGTGATGTCAGTAAATCATAGCCGTAAATGGTGTGTGTTTTGCAATGTGGCTGGAAATATGCAAGTTGAATGCAAAATATGAGTCAGTCACAGAATCTGGTGCCTAATGAGATGTCAGCCTGAAAGCAGAGCTGTGGTCTCTGAAAAGCCAGGCTGCAAAGACCTGTGGGTGTACGTGTGAGAGAGAGTTCTAATATCTGGCCTTCCTCCTTTCCTTCATGCTTCCATAGACATGACAGGCTTGACTGCCCAACTAATGTGCAGATTCCACAGTTGCTTGTGCAGCCAAGGCATGCTTTGGGAAATTCTTGGCAGAGTGAATTATGGGCCTGGGAGTTTATTTTCTTTCTGGTTGTACACTTATATCCCACCTGTCATGGAATCCAAAATTGAGTCCATGTGGTTCCCAGGAGATCTCCAATCCAGGCTCTGAACAGATCTAGATCTGCTTCACTTTGGCAAGGTGGTGGCCTCACGCCTTCAGACCAAAAGGTAAACACAAAACAAAGAAACTTGTATGACTTGCGTATCAAGGTTTGCAGATCCCTCTGTGCCACCCTGAGAACCACAGTTACTCTCAGAGCAATTCCTTTTACTTTATTTGAATTTAATACTGCTGTCGTGCCTTACCAGAAATCTTTAAATGCACTTAGCTTTAAGTGAAATCTGATGCCAACTAGAGATGTGAAACTCCTCCCTTGGGGAATTATTCTAATCTGATTTAAATTCTTGGAACTTCTCTCAGAATTCTCCGCAAACACAGTTGTAATTGTACTCAGGAATAACTTTTCCGTGGCTTCCTTTAGATTCCTTTTCTGAATTCCACAGCCCAAAAAGCTTGTGTCCTCTGCCTTAACCTTCCTCCAGCCCAGAAGTGGGCTTACGCAGAGGTCTGTGCCCTCCAGAAAATAACTGTTCCTACAAATTCAGAAGCAGCACATGCCGCTA